CCTTCCACATAGGTCCTTCATTCCTCTCTTTCCTTCTTTTGCCTGAGTTTCTCCCCACTGATACAATACTTATACCCTTGAACCAGTGTCCCAGGAATCTGACATCCCATGGACCAATAGGTTTTTTCTAAGGCTAGCTCCCTTGCCTTTCCATTGGCACTGAAATTGTATAGGAGTCCTCCATTATGGGCAACATTTCATGCCCAAATTACATATATATGCATTAGAGAAGGATGGAACAAAGTGCTGTGTGAAATCTAAGGAACGATCAGAAAAATTTTCAAATAAAAGGTGGCCTTTGAGTGGGGCTTTATGAATGGGTAAAAATAGGTCAGGCCAAGAGGGAGAGGGCATTCTAGGCAAAGGCACACAGGCAGGTAGGTATGCTTAGATTATTTCTGAGTAGCAGAGAATATTCTGATTTGGCTGGAAAATAAATTATATGGGGGAGAATAATATATAATGAGGCTGGTAAGGTAAGGTGGCACCAGATTGTGGAGGTGCCTGATTACCACTCAGTCAATCAATAAACACTTATTAAATGCCTGCTATGTTCAAGGCTGTGTGCTAACCATCACTGATATAAAAAGAATCAAGACAGACCTGATTCTCAAGGATCTTACAATCTAATGAGAGGGGGGTGAGACAAAATGCAAACAAATGTATGCAAAGAAAGTTTTATACAGGATAAATAGGGAATAAATTAACAGAGGGAAGACACTAGAATTAAGAGGGGTTGGGGAAGTCTTCTTGTAGAAGGTAGCATTTTAGTTGGGACTTAAAGGAAGCCCTCTAGATCAATAGTTGGAGTGGAAGAGAGAGTGGAAGAGAGAGAACATTCCTGGTGTAGGAGACAGGTAGAGAAAATGCCTGGAGACAAGAACAGGTTCATGGAACATCCAGGAGGCCAGTGTCACAGGAGGAAAGAATACATAGTGGAATAAGGGGAAAGAAGACTGGAAAGGTAGGAGGAGGCTACATTATAAAGGGCGTTGAATGTCAAACAGAACATTTTGTATTTGGTCCTGAAGGCAATAGGGAGCCATTGGAGTTTATTGAGTACAGGAGTGACGTGATTGGATCTGAATTTTAGGAAAATCATGTTAGTGGCTGACTGGAGGATGGATTGGAGTGGGGAGAGACTTGAAGCAGGCAGACCCATCAACGGGCTATTGTAATAGTTTAGTCACAAGTTGATGAGATCCTGCACTGGAGTGGAGAGAATGCCAGCTTTGAAAGTTTGAATGGAAAGGAAGTTTGAATTTTACTGTTGGGCAGAGGAATAGCATGACTAAAATTTTGCATAAAGAGGATTAGTCTGGCAGTGACATTTAGAAGATGGGTATGAACGGAAGAAACTGGAAAAAGGTTCCATCATGGTCAAGGAAAAATGCAAAGCTAATTGGCCATGTTTCTAGTTCGAACAGTCTCTGAAATAAGCAACATAATCCAAGCGGTGACTAAGATGGGGCATGTCAGGGCTTTACCTCAGGACATTGAGAAGGTGCAGAAATGAAATATATTCACTCCTTCAGCACTAAGTGAGCCACTAGAGTAACTAACTCCCCACCTTCTCAATTGAATTCATCTTAATTACGTCTTGTATTATTTTCACATCGTGAAGTACCAAGTTGACTTGAGGGGTGGATTGGGTGGGTTGGCCCAGGGCACCAAAATTTCTAGTTATGGCTCTACTGCATGGCAATGAGCTGCCTGCCTTTGGTTATCTAGGGTCCCAGAGCAGCTGCTAATTGCAATCACAAACATGTCAGAGTTCATCTCCGAAGGAGTGCTGAGGAAAGCACAACAAAAAGATATTAGAAAGGATAGATAAAGGTCATTTGTTTTTTAAGTCTGCTGCTCTTTGTCTCTCCCCACACAGGTAGAGAGGATTAACAGAGGCACTGGGAGGCAGAGTGGTAGCAGCACAACACAAGATATAAAACTTGCCCTCAGATAGACCACAGAGGCTGGCATGCAAATTCAACCAACCTGCCTGACGGTTTCTACATCCTGTTTCCTATTGCTGCCGATTCCTGCTCTGATTTCTTGGCTCCTGTTTCCCAGTCTTCTTTCCGGAATCTTTCTCACTGGAAAACCTTGAACTTGACCCCTGTGTTCCCCCTTGAGACAGGTCTCTTTAATATAATGTGGCCAGCTTGGCATCTTCCAGACCACCATTCTGCACCCAAAGAAGGCCCTACCTGTCCCAAATGGCAACAAGTTGATTGGATTTCCTTTTCCATTTTTTCTAATCATTTTTATTATAAATTATAATTTAACAAATACCAACAATCAAACAAACACAATAAAGAATAAAATCCTGGACAAAACCTTGAATGAGTGACCTTTGCATAAAAATACAGTCTAACAAGAAAACAGTATTCATAAAATATTACCATTAATAAAATAATAACAAGGACAGCTTTCTTTTGCTCTCTGTGCTTTCTGTGATGTCTTTTCTGCTGCTATACTAATAGCTTCTGCTGTTGGAAACTACCTATATCAGCGGAATGACTTAATAAACAATATTATATTAATGCAAGGGAATGTTGCTGCACTTTAAAAATAATTAACAAAGAAATATCTAAAGGTGTATTGACAATAATACAGAGAGAAGTAAGCACAGTTAGAACAACATATATGTTGTTTGATGACTATATAAAAACAACAGCTCCAGAATTGTGCCAGTACACATATTTTTTTAAGCAGATAGGACCTTATTCTCCTTTTCTCAGCTATAGGTATCTGGGTCCATTTTGTAACTCTTACTATATTTTGCCAGAGTCTAGCCTTAATTCCAATATAAGTTCATTGAGGTGGAAATTACTTTCTTCTTCTCCTTCTCCTTCTCCTTCTCCTTCTCCTTCTCCTTCTCCTTCTCCTTCTCCTTCTCCTCCTTCTTCTTAGAAGCAATTCAGTTTAAAATGACACTTTTAAAATGGAGGTCATTTTAGAATCCTTAGTAATTGTTCTCTTACAGACCAAGTGTTTCCCATCTGCCTAATTCAATCACTTTAAAGCTGGACTTGGCTGTTACATCCCTGGCTAGGACAGCTGCATTTCTGTGATGCTGAGACACTTACCCTCCTGCTAATCCCAAACCCCAGCAGAGGAAAATGAGAACAGCCCATTGGCATGCATGCCTTTCAGTCTTTCAGACCAACTTTGCAGTCCCCTCTTATCCCCCATTCTCAGCACACAGGGAGTACATACTATAAGCCCAGCATCTGGCCACCTTTTATAGAGAATTACCTTGCCATCTCCAAATATTTTAAAAATAGAAGCCTGATTACTTGGGCTGCGATTAGGTTGTTAAAGTTTTACCAATCAAGATTACATCACTGGCTTGTGAGTGTGGAAGGTTAAACTGTGCATGAAAAGTGGAGTCCCCCACCTTCTCTCCAATCTCAGGGGAAGGAAGGAGCTGAGGACAAAGAAGACCCAGGAACCCCAGGGTCAGGGAATTATTTCCTTTACAATTTTTTTTTTCCTGGCAGCTTTTTCTGGCAGCCCGGATGGGTTGTACATGATGGGATTTATATCTGGCAGCAGCCTCTGGAGAGCAGAGCCAAATCCTTTAACTTTATAGATGAAGATACTGAGGTCTAGTGAGGTAAAGTGACTTTCCTGAGGTCACACAGTAAGTAGTAGAGCTGGGATATGGATCTAGGTCAGCTGACTCTAAATCTAGTGTTCTTTCCACCATATTACATATGGGAACTTGACTCACTCACGCTTTTTTTCTAGCATCCCAACTGATAATAACAGCTGACATATATATGGAATTGTAAGGTTCACAAAATATTTTATGTATGTTATCTAAAAACAACTGTGTGAGTTAAGGACTACCAAATATCCTTATCCCTGTTTTACAGATGAGGAAACTGAGGCGAGCTAGTAAGTACTGGGGTCTAGATTTGAATCCAGTTGTCCATTTTATGGGGCAGCTAGGTGGTGCAATGGATAGAAGGCTGGACTTAGAGTCAGGAAGACAGACCCGAGTTCTAATTTGCCCTTTGATACTTACTGTGTGACCTTGAGCAAGTCACTTAACCTCTATTTGCCTCAGTTTTCTCATCTGTAAAATGAGGGCAATAATAGCACCCACTTCTCAGGGTTGTTGTGAGGATAGAACTGGAAAGATTTGTTTATTGATTGGATGTGTGGGGTTGGTGAGTGTAAGAGCTATTTGTAAAGTGCTTTGCAAATCTTATAGTGCTATATATTATGCTAGGTATTATAAGGTGCCATCATGTTGCCTGGTGTTGGGAGTGTAGAATGGGGAGAAATGTTTTTCCTCTTTCAAAGAGATTACGGTTTCAGAGCTAGAAGAGACCTTCAAAATCACTGAGTCCAGCCCCACTCATTTGGAAACTGAGCCCCAGGGAAGTAAAGGGACTTGCCCAAGGTCTCACAGGTAGAAAGTGGCAGAAATTGAATTTGAAGCTAGACCTTCTGAGTCCATTGCAGTCCAGTTTCCACTGTACCGCACTGCCTTGAGCCCTAACCTGTATCACAGGCCTCATTTCTACTGAGCTAGGTGCCTTTTACCTCTCTATGTGGCTCTCAGGTCGCTGTTGCCTCCATGAGAAATCAGCTCCAAGAGAGAAACCCCAGGGCCAAGCCTATCGGGTTTCACTGCAGAGCTGAAGGCGAGATAATTCACTTCTTACCCCCTCCCCTTGCCACGCCCCCTCCATTCCTCCCACTCCCCCCCACTCCACCTCCTGCTGATTTCTGCTCTGGAACAACTTTTACTTTTAGTTTCACCCGTCCCCGCCCCTCTTCTCCCCCGAAAATAATAGTAGGATAAATATAAATAGTGCTTTAAGAGACAACACCTTTAGTCAGTTTCACCGTGGGCCAGTGGAAGGGGATGGTTAAGAAAGCATTTGTCCCATACTGGTCTACTTTCAAGGATCCAATTCTTCGGGGTAGAAACTCCCTACATGCACAGACTGCACCCCTTCCTGCTTTCCTTTCCCTTGTGGCTGCAGTCAACGTTCTCAGGGCAGGGCCTCTCTGCCCTCGGGCAGACCGACCTCAGGTTGACAACAGAAACAAGAAACAATCCACCAGGCGGCTGCCTTTGCCCCGAAAGCCTTTGCTGGGTAGTTTTTTGCTTCACTGGCAGAGCCTTTTAGAACCCAAGGTCAAAAGGAAATCTATCACCCAGGGAGGCCTCCGAGGAGGATTTTATTTCTGACAGTCACTCAGAGAAATGAAGAAATCTCCTTGCACCCCAGGAAGATGAAAACAAAACAAAATGAGGGTTTTCTTGCCTCTTTTGTACAAGGAGAGTCTTGAATTTAGAGTCGGGGGCCTGGGTTCTAATCCACACTGGACTGTAGATTACCCATGCAGCTTTGAGCAAATCATTTAAGTGCTCATTGGCCTCATCTGTACCATGAGGGCACTGGGGTAGCTGACCCCAAGGCCTCTTCCAGTGATAAATCTATGGTCCTATGACCTGGACAATGTGCACTGATTATCTCTCTGGGTCAAATTCACCAGATAATGGCACAATTCTTCACTATATTGTGTATGTAAGACACAGGTGATTTTGAGACAAGAAAAGACCTCTGAGGAGCACAGTGATGGAGTTGAAAGTGTTGGACATGAAATAAGGAGATGTCTAGGACTGACTCCTGTGTCTGTTCCTTTTGACTTATACACAAAATGCTTCACTAAGCCTTAAATAAGCTTCATCTATAAAAGGGAATAATAAACCTAATGTATGAGTTCTTAACTTTTTTTATGTCATGAGTTCTTAATCTTTGGCAGGCTGATAAGTCTTTTCATAATAATGTTTTTAAATAATTAAAGGAAATGCTAAATTTCAATTAACAGTTCAGTGAAAATTAAAGAGGAAATTTTTTCCCCATCCAAGTCCCAGAACCCCTGAAATCTGTCAATAGACCTCTCTACCCTCCATTAAGAACACCTGTTTAGTGTCTACTTCCCTACTGTAAAATGTGACAATAATCCCTGTAAAATCTTCCTCTCTGGATTGTTGTGAGACTCAAGGGAGTTAACACATATAAAGTGCTATGTGAACATCAACTAATATCATCCCCTGGATTTGTGGCTGTTCAGTATGATCTGTTCATCAACTGGGTTGTTGTTTTTTTATGTTGAGCTTATTTTTTATACCAATATTTATGTCCCTTTTCCAGAGAAAACCTAGACTTTCCATGAATGTCAGATGCTATGGTACTGATAGAGTTCGAGGGGTAGGAGATTGTGTTCCTTGTAAGATTTCTTCCAAACCATCTGTCTCTCCCCATTTTGCCCCCTATAAAGCATCTGACTGAACTTAAATATTTATTGGATTTTAAAAATCAGCCCCCTGGGGAAATGTACTAATTTCATCTCAGAAAGCAACTAGAAGGCCCCCTTTCCTGGCCCCTGGGTCTGAGGCTCAATGCTGGCATGTTATTCATGCTAAAGACAAATGCCAACACTGTGGTAGCCATGTATCAATATCACTTCAACATACCAAGAGGCCAGACAAGCCACCACATTCCCCCACATGGGCTGTTCCAAATGCAGGGTATGCTCTTGGTAGGACAGTATGATGTTACAACATTTCTCTTCCTTAACCCTGGAAGAACCAGTGGCTTTCTAGATTGGGCAAAGGTGAGGGACTGCCTTTTTTATAGAAAAGGTGAGCTGCTTTTTACCTTTGTATCATCCGTACAACCCAACACTGTCTTAGTTGAGAATTGTGCTGTGGGGGACCAAGTCAGTCTACACCAGGTTTTAGGGGGAATATAGACACTGATGGACAGTTGTGGTTAGGGACAGCAAATTAGTGAAATAATAATTACGAGGTTGGTTTTTTTTTTTTGGCCCCTTTCAAGTCAGTTGGCATAACAACTTGAACTAGTTAACCTATAGGAGATCTACTTTAATGAATAGGTAAGAACTGTTCATAATCAGCACACTATGCAAATACATGCTGCTAAACATGACTGAAAAGTTAGTTCTCCTAAGTAGGTTATCTGTCTCCTCTGCAACCTTGATTATGTTGCTAAGCAAGTCCTTTTTTCAAGGATAGTTAGTACAAAATCCTTCCCTCATGCTTCATCATGGTGTGAAGGTGACCCTGGGATCTTAAAGACTATGCCAGCAGATCACAAGCTCTGGCAGAACCAACCAAGCTGGAAAGGCTTCTAGTGGGCTAGGTGATGGAAAAAATGCATTTATCCACTCTCTCAACAAACATTTATTGCCTACTGCATGGCAAATGTTATAATCCTAATAATAGTTAGCACATAAAGGTTTTAGGTTTGATATAAATATATATATACACACATATATACATACACACATACACATCATATGTATATTGTATATACATACATGTATATATACATGCAAACATATATCTATAGATCTACATATATCTATATGTGTGTATACATGAATGTATATACAAGTGTGTAGATATATACATGTGTGTATGCGTATATCTCTATATCTTTAGCTAGCTAGCTAGCTAGCTATCCTGTCATTCTAGTTGCAGCCTATCTTAATTATGAGAAGCTCAAAACCAAAGAGTTGGCCACTGGGTGATAGATCTTTTTCAGCCACAAAAATCATGATAATTGTCTACTTGTCTACAAGGTGGGGTGGGGGGGTGAGCTGAGATCTACTCTGATGGGAAAGCATATGTTCTGATGAAATCACAGATTCTGGAAGTGTATAAGGGCACCTTTTAGACAACCCTTAGTACAGATGGTTGCAAGTTCTGAATTAATAGTGTCTTAATTTGAGGCTTGAGTCCCTGTGTCGTAATACAGTGGAAGGTTGACACAGTGAGTAAAGACATGTCTCAGAGTTTGGCCTCCTGAGTTATTGTATGACTAGAGGGAGGTTATGGGAAGCTGGGACCCTATGAGAAAGTAGGGCAGAGAAAAGTCAGCTAGCAGAAGAAGCATCTTTACAGCACTCACAGAGCCAAAAATAAGTGCCATGTAATTAATATTTAACTAATTTGCTGTCTCTTGTCATTGAAACACAGATGGTATTCAAATCATACAGGCAGTAGGGCATTAACAAAACAATAATGATTACCCCAGAATGTGTCCTCTAGGGATTAACTAGGAATATAATTAATTGATGGAACATAAAAATAAGGACCATGTATGATGGGGATAGAGATCCAGATTACATGGGTTCTTGCATATCCAAGGAAAAACTGATACCTTAGCTCCTATTAGGTGTGCAAGGAGGAAGACACCTTGCAATAATTGACATTATTATTGCTATTTAAGATAAATAATCCTATTTCTTCTATCATTCTTTGGAATATTTGTATTTATTCAATCTTCTAAACCTTTTTTAAAAATGTGACTGTTTTGCATAGAAAATTTGGATCATCTCTGATTTTACAAGCATGGGTTCTAGTTCCACCAAGAGAATACAACACTTTCATGTTTCATGATTTTCACTGGCCAAAGATATCCTTACCTTACAGATAACTGTCTGTAGACGAGCCACTCTAAATTTAGCTAACCTGGTTGCTTAACAGCAGACACCCAGTCAATTGCAAGGCGTACACTCACAATCACAGTGTCTTCAAATAGCTTGGTAGGACAAGTTAGAGTTTATGCCCTATTAACACAGACCAATTTACTTTGTATTTACTTATCTGTGTACATGTGGTATCCACCCTGGCTCTGTTACTTACTCCTTGCGTGCCCTTACACACTTCCAGAATCTATGATTTCATCAGAACATATGCTCTCCCATCAGAGTAGATCATTTCACCTTCCTGGGCCTTGGTTTCCCCATCTGCAAAATAAGGAGTTAAACTAGTTGGCCTCCAAAGCCCCTTCCAGCTCCAAATCTTTGATCCTGCAGAAATAATCAAAGCCCCTTGAGGGCAAGAATTGATTCATTTCTGTCATTGTACCTCTAGTACTAGAGAGAAAATGGGGAATACTGGGTGGTGGATTGGCCCTGAAGCCAGGATTATGTACCTGGGTACATAGTCATACCTTTATCATGTATTGGCCTTGCGATCCTGGGAAAAACATTTAACTTCTTAGTACTCTAGGAAACTCTCTAAGACAGTGATGTCAGACTCAAATAATTTTGAGCCCATATTGACTCAGAAAAGCACAAATTAACATTATCTGTTGTATTGTATTTAATCATTTGTTTTTTTATCAGACATTTCCTGGTTACATTTTAATGTAGTTCTGGCCATACTCAGGAGTTTTGTGGGCCATGAGCAGCTGAGCTGTAAGTTTGACACCTCTGCTTAAGAAATTATAAATGGAAAAGAAGGTGCTGACCAGGGTTTTCCTTATCTGAAAATTTTCTATCTAGGAGGGGGGAACCTGCGGCCTCAAGGCCACATGTGGCCCTCTAGGTCCTTAAGTGCAGCTCTTTGACTGAATCCAAATTTTACAGAACAAATTCTTTTATTAAGGGGATTTGTTCTGTGAAGTTTGTATTCAGTCAAAGGGCCCCACTTGAGGATCTGGAGAGCCACATATGGCCTTGGGACAGCAGGTTCTCTACCTCTGTCCTATACCAATGCTGGAGAAAAGGAGAGACTTTTGAATTTATAAGTATAGAGAATTCTCTTTTCTAATATAGATTGGGAACTGTTCTGCAATGTATGATCTTAGACAATTTCCTGGACCTTTGAGAAGTTCAATGCCTCCCCTTGAGTGACAAAGACAGGATGCTTCAGAGAGTAGACTTGAACCCAGATCTAATTCCAAGGACAGCCTGCTTTCTATTTGCTAATTCATGGTCCTTCTCAATAAATGCCTACATTAAATTGAATAAATATCCTTGAAGACAGCAGAGTTGGCACCTCCAAGCTTGAATAGGATTTTAGTGGAGGATTGCAACTATTAAATCATTTTTATTTTTATAACTGTCTTGGGGAGTAGGTGCACACTATTTTCAGGTGAATAGAGACCCTGAGAAATTAAATGACCTCTAGGTCACACAGGAAATTAATGAATGATGTAGGGCTGGAAACACTGACTGAAATCACAAAACTTTAAGCATCCACTGAATTTTGCCATACCAACGAACAGAGGGAGACCTGTAGCAATTCCCACACTGAGCAAACCTCCGTTTGACG